TGCAAGTTCTGCTAAAAGAACTTGTGAAATTATCTATTTTTTTAAAACTACAAAGTTAGTAAATCAGGTTTTAGTTCTTGTGTAATAAACAGGTTTTTAACCTTTTTTTTTTTTAACTGCTATTGACTACTGAAAGTTCTTCAATATTTTCAGTACCTCCCACAATTTCTCAAGCAATTGAACTTTTTAGTAACTCTATATCGTCTCAAGTAAGTAGGTTTTCAGTAACTTTGGCTGAGTCTGACATTAAAAAAATACTAACTTCAGTTAAGTTTGATGAAGAAATGATAACTTCAGCTAAGTCTGATGAAGAAATAATAGTTTCAGCTAGGTCTGACGAAAAAGAAATACAAATTTCAGCTAAGTCTGACATAGAAGAAATGTCTAATATAGAAGAAATATTTGGTGTAGAAGAAATGTCTGAAATAAAAATATATGATGTAGAAGAAATAATGTTTAATACAGACAAAGTGCATTTTACAAATCATGAAGCAATTGAACAACTTTGAATAGATATAAAAAATAAACAAACACTTACAGTCACTGAATATAATAAATGACGATTAGTTTATGAATATCTGATGCAGTTAGAAGGTGGTGTCAGAAAAATGAAAACGAGTAATGAAGCTGTGTGTATTACTTATATCTTTCCAAAACTATACACAATACAAAGAATTTGGTTTTTGGCTAATTTCTATTTACAATATGGTTCATTTCCAATAATACAACGTAATAAGCACCAAAAGTGCAAGTAAATGTTTGATGATGAGGATATTGCGTTGTAATGTTAACAATAGATATACGAGAAATTAGGTATAAATAGTATTAGCTCATATTGTTTTATGCAGTATATAAATAATATTATTTTATCTGAATATGTAGAAGATAAAAAAAACAATTAGTCTGCATACTGCAAAAAGATGGTTGAATACTTTAGGATATGAATATAAAGAATATAAAAAAGGTGTATATTTTGACAGGTATGAAGAGAAGAATGTTGTGCCGAATAGACAGATTTTTTAGATAGAATGAGAGTATTAGAGCAAAGAATAGCAACATATGAAAGAGAAGCAATAATAAAAGTTCTACCAGTTTTAAATAGAGGGAAACAAGAACTAATTTTTGTAACTCACGATGAAAGTGTATTTTACACAAATGATAGAAAGAGAAAAATTTGAGTACTCACTAGAGATATGCTGTTACGAAAAAAAGAGAACAGAAAATCAGTAATGGTGAGTAAATTTATTTCAGAAGAGTGTGGTCAATTAAAGCTAAACAATGAAGAGATAAGAATATACCCAAACGTTTCTGCAGAGGCATAATGCTATATAATGCCTGGTAAAAATTAAGAAAATTATTGAACTATTGACAATTTGTTAGATCAAGTCCAAAATAAAGTGATTTCAATTTTTGAGACAAAGTTTTTTAATACAACCACTGTTTTTGCTTTTGACAACAGCACTAATTATGCAGTATACGTGAAGAATGCTTTTATTATATTGAGAATGAATTTGGGGCCTGGAGGAAACCAACCAGTAATATGGTCTACATCTTATGTCGATGCTAATAGAATTCAAAGAGCCTAACAGATGATTTTTGATAAGGATTATGAGGATCTAACAATACAAGGAAAGCCAAAAGGAATAAGTTTAATAT